GTCTGTTATGAATAAAGAGTGCTGTGTACCATCACTGCCTTTGAATGAGAGTTTAGGGTAAAATGTGGATCAGTCCAATGGCATCACTTCATGCCAAGTTTCAGTCCAGTGTGAAAGTTTATGGCCTCTGAAAATTCTGTTATAACATAAAGACTGCCAGATTTTTAAATTCAGTGGTGTTACTCGGCTCCTAGTATAATACAAATGTTTTCTTTCTTCCTATGATTTATGGCCCTGTCTGTGCAGCCTTTATTTTTCTGGGATCTTGGATAGTTGAGCAGAGTCCTAAGCATGCCAAACCTCTAACTGACAGCTATCTCACTGGTTCAAGAAGAAGGGAGATTTGTTGGTCAAAGGACCCAGCTGACCAAAGAAAATAGCTTACAGTTGACATTGACAAAGAAAAGTGCAGTAAAAATATCACGAATTCAAATATGCAAACCACTGAGTGTTGAAGCCTAACCGGGGACACATAAATGGTACAACAGTTTGGACCAACACTTTTTCCAAGCAGATAAAACAATTTGTGCAAGGTAGAGTTGTTAATTAATTTTCATGCTCTGTAAAAATAAGCAGATCCTTGGAAAGTCAGGATTTTTTTCAAAGTGAAGTCATTGAGAAAGTGAAGTGCTTATTACTAAAGAAACGTGTGCCAGGATTCCTTAAAGAGTGCCATTAGTAAGGCAGGGATGATTACTCTGCTGATAACAACCAAGACATAAATATATTGAAAACATTAGGTAAGTTAGGAACTTGTAATATTGTAACTTAATGTGCATGCCAGGACACTGGAAGCAGTCTGCTGTTGGTTCTTGGTTAATTTATAAGCTATGAAATTAAAACTTGCTTTAACACTTACAGTCCTGAGTAAGAAGGTTTTTTTATGCTATGTATCCATCATAATTTTAATTGCTCATTATTGCAGTGTATGTATTTGCTTTTTGTCTGATCAACCATTTTTGGATTTTATGCTTAAAGCACTTTTAGATACTGTACAACGTCTCTGTAATATTTTTATGTCAGCTTAGGCCTAGCTTGACCTGGTGTTGTTTCAGGGCATGCATTTTTCTTCTCTGAATTCCTACTGCTGGAGCTGTTCAGGACTGAAGTTGCCAATTTATTTTCTGTTCACTATTCACTTTGATCCAAGTCAGACCCAGATGGTATTTATCCATCCTCTCAGAAATAAAAATATGTTTATTGAGGAATAAAGCCGTGTCAGATTTACAGTGATGGTGTTTATATATGGTGGTGTCAATGGGGTCTTTGAAAGCTTGTAGAAAGGTATTCACTCTTCCTAGATCATCTGAATACAGATAAATTTGCAAAAGCGTGTATCATACTCTTACGGATCATGCTAAGGAGTGTGAAACACCTGTGGTTTGAGGATCACGTATGAACAAGGTGGAATGCAGTTAGCAAGCTGTGTAACAGAATATCAATTATCTTTTTTTTTGTGAAAAAGATTGTAACATTTGTACAGAACAAGTCATTTTGGGAAGATTACAAATTCCTTTTTTTCTGATTATTCGCATCTTTTAGCTTATGGTATATTTAAGTGACGTCTTAAGGGTACCTTCAATTTTATTTCCTTCAGTCTTTGGATGTTATTTGGAAAGAAGTTAATTGCAGCATGCTACCAACAGTTTCAGGCTTGCAATTGTGAATTTTTTCATTCAGCAACATTTTTCACAGATGTTCTTGGGTAGCTACTTACCTGATTGCAAAGCAAGTATTTGCAGTGTGCATGGACACAGAGGAGAAACATGGCTGTCTAACATGATTCACTGACTAACATGACAGTCCTTTGCTGTTACCATATCAAACTGCTTTCCTGAACACATCTAGGTGACCAGGTGCAGAGGGCTCAAAGAAAAGCAACAAAAACAAATCTATATGATGGTGATTCCAAATAAGAGAAAGGAGTAAAAGACCAAAGCTTGCCCCCTTTTTTTTTTTTTTTAAGAATGGTGAGTACTAAAAATGGAGAACTCCATCTTACAGCTAAAGTAGGGTCTAGTTTTAAGAATTTAATTTAATTTGATAAAGGTACAACATTTGATATATTTCCTATTATAATACAGTTAAATAAGAAGGAGGGAATTGTTTCTACCTTCGAAACATTTATAAGTAGGCTAGAAAAAGTCCTAGCGATATACTCTAAGGAGAAATTATGAATTAGGCCTAATTAGAAGTGTATAAGATAACAGATTTTTCAGCATTCATTTCATTGTTCATTTGGAATCACGAAGTGTTCTGTGTATGGTCAGTTCTACTTTTTATTCTCCTTACCTTTTCTGCATTTGGTGTCTTCAAGTGAGCTGTCATGTAGCTGCAACTTCTGTTGAATATTTTATTTATAATATGTAAATAATATTCAAATGTGTCCAAATTTTGTGCATTTTGTGTATTTGTATGCAATTTTATGGAATTTTATAATATAAATATGTATTTTATGTTGTTCTGTTTACAAGACATGATAAATCCCCATTAGTTTTGAAATTTCATGGTGTGGTACACTATTATACTTACCAGGTTCATATGTTCTCAAAGCAGAGCAGATCTATGCTAATATAATGTTACCTCATACTTCTATGAAATTCTGTAGCTAAGGGAAAGTCTAAACAGATAACTGGAAATCAGTGAAAGTAGAACTAAAACTGGCTCTGCTTATTTGCACTCCACAGACTTTAACCATGAAATCCATCTGCCTCTCTCTGAAATGAAATAGTGAGAGAAAAGCTGAAATTCAGAATATGCTTCTGGTTCCGTCTGAGTTTGATTGCAAGTTGGCTGTTTATTTTTGTGAATTTCAGTTAAGCAATAATTATGGAGATCAAGTCTTTTCTGTAGAACTATCAAAGAGCCTGGGAGTTGCCGACACTGCTTCCTACTACTTCTCTCATGAAATTGAATTGCTACTTTTGAGCCTGATAAATGACTCTGTTTTATTTGTCTTACCAACAGCTCCTTGAAATTGGTTTGCATTCTTCTGTTCAGTATTTCCTAGACATGTGGAGGAGTAGACCTGCAGCAGTACTGTGAAAGAAAATGGGTTGAGAAAGTTTTGAATATCCGGGAGAGGGACAAGGAGCTGGGGAGATGTGGGAGATCCCAACCTGGATAGCATTCATTTTATTCAGCGTGGTGTGGGAAGGGATGAGAAGAAAGGAAAAGGAGAACACTAAAAAATATGTATTCTGGAATGTACATAATGAAATTCTTCAAAATAAACCAAGCTGATTTGTTTTGAACCTTGTAAAAGGGATATGGACAACTGACAGAATGGCATTCTCCAATCAATGAGTGTTGGGGATATTTTATTTATTCTCAGAATAATCTGCTGTCATTTGACTATGCTGCCTTCCCTGGACTCCTCAACCTATTTCAAGGCAATCTAGCCTTTAAATTATTTAAATTAAATTGATTTAAATTATTTTAGTTATTTAAATATTCTTGTGTTTTATTTTTCTTACATCTAGTAAAACAAAAACCTTGCCACAAGGACCTTACAGTTATATAGAGGAGAAAAAGAATATAACAACATTATCTGAAAAAGAACTAGCAGAAGCATTTTAGAATAGATGCTAGTTTTCTTTTCCTTTTCCTCCTTCTCCTTTTCTTTCCCATTCTTCCCCCCCATCTAGGGTGCTCTTTTGGGTAAACCATACCACTGTGAGTGTGGATCCAAAGTGATTTAAGAGAAACATGGAGTTTCTGAAAGGGACAGATCCATCTCCTCCTGGTACCTTGAAGGAGATCAACCCGGATTACAAGACACACACTCAATGTGACCTTTCCATCTTGCTCCATTTATTTATCGCAATAACAGCACTTTTATACAGTCTAACCTCGCCCACGTGGTGTGCATGTGCCTCAAACAGCTCCCTATTGGCTACAGCCCACTTTGTGTACACATATCATTGGCTGGCATTATGTCTCCGGGCCCTGGACTACAACAGGGCTCCTCCCAATTTGCAGTTGCCTAGGCACCTGGTTTACTCCTCTAGGCAGCCTAGTTCCCTCTTGTTACTGGGTCAAGGAAAAGTCAAGGGCAAGTCTCCACCTGAAGTTGCGCAGGCCCTCTGGGAGAGCATGGCCCTGACTCTCTAACCATTCCTCTATAATCCCCCCTTTTTTCTTTTGCACAAGCCAGGCTCGGCTGGTTATGGAGAATAACATTTTCTTGAGGCAAGCAAAAACGCAACTGACTAGGCAAAACATAACTAGTAACATAAGCAACAACATTATACTGGATTTAAATAGCGATTGTGGTCACCCTTCCAACCCCAGGAGGTTGGTTAATGCATTGAGTCCAAAGACCTCAACATCCTTCCATATTTTCTGAGTGTGCTGCATTAGCTGCTGAATCTGGCCATGTATTGCTCTGGAATGGTCCTGAAAGTCCATACAGCATATACCGCCAAAATCCTCGCACCCATGTCCATGGGCCAACAGCAAGAAGTCGATTGCAGCTCGATTTTGTAGGACAGCGTGCTGTACTTCGGACAGGTCCTGCGTGAGCTCAGAGAGGACCGGATTCGTGCCGTTGGTCCCTTATTCCCCATCCACTGAGCGTGGCTCCACATCCGCTTGCTCAAGAGGTGGTTCTTGGCCTGTCGCCTGCTCTTGGGCTGCTTGGATCCAGTGGCTGGGCCCCCATAGCGGCCCTGTAAGGGAGGAAACACACATATGCCCACGGCCATGGAATAGAACTTCCGCCGGTCCCTCCCAAATTCCCATTTGAGGGTGACGGTAAGGCACCATCATCGGCGTAGAACGGGGCGCCTGGGGCCTTAGGCTTTTGGCATGGATCAACAACGGGGGCTCCTTGTTGTTCCTGAACACACACAAATGATTTAACACAAACAAGGTTTAATGCAATCGTTCTTTGGGGTCAGAGATCTCCGTAAACTTACTCAGATAATTCTTCAAGGTGCAATTTGCTCGCTCTACAATGGCTTGGCCCGTAGGTGAGTGCGGCATGCCCGTGACGTGCTTCACCCCCACCTCCCACAGAATTGCCAGACCCCATCACTAATATAGGCCGGTCCATTATCTCTTTTTATTTCTTCCGGAACGCCCAGGACAGCGAAACAGGCCGTCAAGTGCTTTTTGACATGGATAGCTCTTTTCCCTGGCTGAGCAGTTGCCCAGATTGCATGCGAAAATGTATCTACTGTCACATGTACATACTTTAACCGACCAAACGCGGGTACGTGGGTAACATCCATCTGCCATATTTCCAGCGCTTTCAGCCCGCGAGGGTTTACACCTATACCCAACCCCGGCCCGTGATGACTGCATTGTGGACACGTCTGCACAATCCCCTTGGCCTCTGAGACTGTGATTGAGGAGCAGGCTAACCCGTTGGCGTTCATGTGGAACTGGTCATGGGCAATCTGAGCCATTTCGAATTGGCTGAGCGGTGATCGTCCAGCTGCCCAGCGGACCAACCAATCAGCTCGGTCATTGCCTTCTCTCAGGCCTTCCTGCCACTGATGACTACGCACGTGGATAATGCAATATGTGGCCGTTTGTAGCCGCGTGGCTCTTTTAACCTGCAGGAACAACTGATACAGGCGTTCATTCTACACATGTTTCACCAAGGCGCCCTCTATTCGAGTGACCACCCCACTAGGTACAGCGAGTCTGAGACTACATTCAAGGGCACGTCACTCCAATTAGACACAGCCCATGCGACAGCCACTAATTCCAGTGTCTGCAGCGTGTCCCCCTCGACTGCCGGTATAATTTGCTGTTGCCATATTTCGCCTTCCTTCCATGTAGCCACCGCCCTTCTAGATGTCTTGCCTGAATATGGTGATCCCGTCTATCAATGGCACAGCTGAGACCTTCGGCAGTTCTACCCAAGAGTATGGCGTAATGAAATGTCCCATTTTCCCTGTGGGCATTTCCGAGCTTACTGCCCCTCCGTATTCCAAGAGCGCCAACTGCAGAGATGTGGAGTGCCGCAGGGCCCATTCCAGGTCCGCGGGCTGCATTGGCAGGTGTATACTTTCCGGCTCATATCCTGCTATCGCTAGTAATCGGGTTCTTCCTTTCCGCACCATGTTCGCAATGGCTTCCAAGCACGGGACTACACTCTTTTTCGGCTGGATGGGTGTAAACAGCCACTCAAGGACCGCAAGGTGATCTTCCCCTCCCCCTTTTTTCTTTTGCCACTGCATGATGAGGGCAAGGACTGAATATTTGGTGGACGAGATCAGGAGACGAAGGAGAAGGTCCAGGCGTCGCCGGTGCGTTGCTCGCGTGCCTATCAGGATTCCCAGGCGACGGATGCATGTGCGTTGCTCTGGGGTGAGGACAATGGGCTTGGCGGCGTTGGTGCCCTTCAGAAGTGCGCCCAATGGTGCTATATCCTCGTTGGTAATGCCCAACAGAGGACGAACCCACTGCAGATCCCCCATCAGGGTCTGGACGTCTGTAAGGTTTCTAAGTTCCATATTCAGGGTGAGTTTTTGTGGACATATTAAGGTTTCCGTTATCGTCCAGCCTAGGTATTTCCAGGGCGAAGTCCTTTGCACCTTTTCCGGGGCGATAACCAGGCCGCACTGGCTCAGAGTGTCAGCTAATATCTTTTCATCCTCCAAAGTGAACCCAGATTCGTGCGCTAGGAGGATGTCGTCCATGTAATGATAAATGATCGTATTAGGCCACAGGCGGCACAGGGGTTGTAGGGCCGCAGCCACAAATATCTGGCACATTGTGGGACTATTCCACATTCCCTGGGGTAGCACAACGCACTTGAAGCATTGGGCTGGCTCCGCATGGTTAATAGAAGGTAGCGTGAAGGCGAACCAACACATGTCCTCGGGATGTAGCGGAAGAGTGTAAAAACAGTCCTTCAAGTCGATAATCCACAGAGGCTATGACTGTGGCAGCATGACAGGCGTTGGTAACCCTGGCTGCAATGCCCCCATGGGCTCCATTTGTTCATTTACCTTCCTTAAGTCATGCAACAAGCGGAACTTCCCGGACTTCTTGGGGATGACAAAAACAGGTGTGTTCCAGGGGCTAGTTGATGGCTTCAGGTGTCCAGCTTGCAGTTGTTCTTTTATCAGTTCATGAGCTTTCTGCAGCCGTTCAGCACTTAGAATGGGCTCGATTGTTTTCCAAGTGATTCCTAATGGCTGCCTAACAGAGGCCGCTGTGAAAAAAACGTGTCCGGGGTGGTTAAGATAACTCCCAATTGGGTCATGCATTCCTGACCGAGGAGGGCATTCACACTGGGTGGCAGCTCAATTACCGTTTCTCTCGTTGATGCACTCTTGCCGTCAATCAGCAGAGTAACGGGATGGGTGCTTACTCGTGCAATCTTGACGTCTCTTATTCCTCCAAATCCTCCAGCGCCTTGCTGCAGCAGCCAGTGCCGGGGCCAAACGCACTGAGATACCAGGGTGACATCTGCGCCCGTGTTGAGGAGGGCCTCAGTTGTCACCCACTCGCCTTGATGTATTAAGGTCACTGGCAAAATCGGCCTTTTCTGCATGCACAAGGTCAGACAGGCCACTGGTCCCGTAGAGCCAAACCCGGCCTCGCCCCTGACCAGCGTCGAGGGTGTCAGTGGGCATATCCGGGCCACCAAATTTTCTAGTGGCACTAACTGCGTGATCCTACTTCCTTTTGGAATGATTAGAGGTGGAAACAGGGTGTAGGCGACAATCTCTACGGTTCCTGTGTAGTCTGCGTCAATAACACCAGGGAAGATTATAATGCCTCTCAGTCCCGAGGAAGATCGGCCAGGCAACAAGGCTCTCAACTTCTGCCTGGAGGCGTGTAAAGGCCTGCGCGTCGTTGTGGGAATTCGCACAGGATTCTGATCTATCAATGTCACATTTATTGCGGTGGCCAGGTCGATGCCCAGGCTGCCTCGGGTGGCGGGGCTTGGCCCGAGCCCAGGTTCACAGCTGGGGCAGGAGCTACTATTTTCCCCGCGCGGCTCCCCATCGCGCTCCGCTGGTCGTTTCCCGACCTCCGGCACGCTTTGCTAGAGTGCGACCCATTTTGACACGTGCCGCACCCCC